ACATATAACCCAACCCATTGCCATCAAGTCAATTCCAACTCACAGTGACCCTATGGACTATGGGGTTTCTGAGTATATAGGGTTTCTGAGACTATAAATATTTGTGGAAGTAGACACCCTCATCTTTCTCCCATGGGTGGCTAGTAGGTTCAAACCACTTACCTAGCAATTCTATGCTTACCTGACAACAATTCTAACCACTGTTAGCAATCCATGCTGTATTAGTCTGGGTACTTTGGAGAAACAAATCCACAGCAACTCACGTATAAGAGAGTTTTATGCAAAGAAAATGTGCATCACGAAAACATCCCAACCCAATGCTGCCCAAGCCCACAAGTCCAACATTAACCCATACCCCACACCAGTCCACAAAGTCCTTCACCTACGAGGACCCTTTACATCAGCGGTTCTCAACCTGTGGGTCATGACCCCTTTGGGGGTTGAACGACCCTTTCACAGGGGTCACTTTAAGACCATCGGAAAACACATAAGTATTTCACAATATTTAATTACATATTGTTTTGTAATGAATCACAATGCTTTAATTATGTTCAATTTGTAACAATGAAAGTACATTCTGCATATCAGTATTTCCATTACGATTCATAACAGTAGCAAAATTACAGTGATGAAGTAGCAATGAAAATAATTTTATGGCTGGGGGTGGTCATCACAACATGAGGAACTGTATTAAAGGGTCACAGCATTAGGAAGGTTGAGAACCCCTGCTTTGCATGCAAATATACGCATATATACATGTACATTTAGATGCGTCTATATGTGTACCTCTATTTGTATACCATATATCTATATGCCCACACACTTCCACATGTGACCATACACTCAATTTTTGGCCATCGTTGATGTTGTTTCCAAATGAGATTCATCAGAGTGTTGAGTCAGAGCATTCTTTTCACCGGAGTCCTGATGTTGTCAGACTTCCTTCCCCTCTCTGACCCTCTCAGCTCTCTCACTCGGGCCTCACTCGAACCTTGTTGCTCATTGCTGAGGTGCAGTAAGCCACACAAGTACATTGTTCAGGCGTGGGTATGGCACAGAGCCATGCCAGCACCCAACCCTTTCTGTCTTGTTTCTAATACCCAGGAGGAGTATCTGGACAGGAGGAAGGATGACAAGGGAAAATGAGGGAGATTAGCGGAGTTTGCATCAAACCTCGCTCGGTTATACTGAACTGCCCCTCCCCACCCCAACCCCTCCTTTTTTAAGGGACCCCTGCAGAAATCTTCAGGTAGGCTGCCGGGATGGAAACAAGCACATTGTGGCTGTAGGTGGGTCGGCCTCCCGATTCAGGACATTGGTTGTTGCTGTGGGAGGAGAAGGGATCGTGACACGCTGAGAGAACTGGATAGAACTGGCCGAAGACCTGCTTTGTGAGGTGCATGTGGTTTATGGAGCGGGCATAAAGCCCGGAAGTGAGGCCAGCCCGTCCTCACTGTCCCTATGTCCTAAATGTGAAGTCACGTTGTGAATTCCACCTGTGTTTCTGCTCCTCTGCTTTCTGAGCTCAGCCTGTGGGGGAAGCTGCTCCTTCATCTGGCCAAGTTCTTCCTTGGTTAGTTTTAATTCCTTGCATGTGGTGATTTGCAGAAGTGGCTAGTTGTAGTTAAATTAATCAAGCAACAAAAAGGAAAACAAAATAGCTTAATGAATCACTACGCCATAACTTGGCTAAAATGTCTTCAGGGCTCAGAGCGACCTGTGCTCTGTGTTATTCTGGCTAGCATCTCGCTGGATGCAGGAAGCAGAGCCAATCAAACTCTGCAGACAAGCTTGCTGTCTGTTCAGCGACAAAAGGGACCCAGGCGTGGCTGGCAGCGCGGCCACTTGGCGGACAGAGTTAACTATTGGATTTTGTTGTGTGTCTCTAAGTCAACTCAGACTCATAGTGACCCTAGATGACGTCGTTGGACAGGGTTTCCCGGCTGAATGAATCTTTCTGGGAGCAAATTGCCAGGTCTTCTCTCCCTCAGAGCAGCTGGTGGGTTCAAACTGCCAATCTTTTGGTTAGCAGCAGAGCAATTAGCCATTGAGTCATCTGGACACCTTTGCTAATAAGATAGTCGCCGTCGGCCAGGGTCTGTACCCTTGACTGAGAAATAACTAAAGCGTTGACATTTTATTTGTCAACATGAAACAAAACAAAGCTAGTAAAAAAAATTAAGCAAGGAGAAAAATGAACCATTTGAAATGAAAAAAAAAAAATGCTCAGAGACAGCCACTTTAATCTCTTTTATTTTCTCTGTACCCTTCCTGTGTCCTTTAGAATGTGGTTGCCTGTGACAGCCGGGTCAGTTCGATTGTGGGACTGACCTTGGGACTGGATGTCTTTGCTTGTGGTTGTAGAATTTCGTAGGGTTTCCTCACGGTTTTGTTGAGTGTGGGGTGCGTTTGGTCCCGAGGCTACTAGAAAACCTTCTCTTTCAGTTGCATTTGAAGGCCTTAGAAGGTAGAGGGCATTTTGAATTTCTGAAGTCCAGTGTCTTAGACCTCGTTTGTTTGGTTTTTACCCACTCTGCCCTGCGGGGTGACTGAGTCACCATGGCCTTGAGGGCCCCCAGCAACATTTCTGAGATCTGTTTAGAACATAAAAAGGCCCTGTTTTCCAACATCTCCGTTGCCCACATGACTGCACACTTGCTTGTCAGGAGCAGTGACCTCTGGGGCTTTTATTGTCACCAGTTAGGCCTTTGCCCTTCACAGACAGCCCGGCAAGTACAGCGAGGGGAGGCAGCAAAAAATGCACCCCCTCTGCCATCGAGTCGCCTCCAATTCCTCCTGACCATACAGGACGGGGAAGAACAGCCTGGGCATCCTTATAGAAGCAGACTGCCTCATCTTTCTCCTTAGGCGTTGCTGGTGGGTTCAAACCACTGACCTTCGGGTTAGGTCAGAGCACTTAATCACTGTGCCCCAGGGCTCCCTGAGAGGAGGACTAGGAGTTTACATTAGTTGAATCCTTATTTGTGTGGCAGGCCCCAGAAATGTGTCTCATGTAGGAGAACGCATGTTACCTCACAGTAAGCATGGGAAAAGCATCCCCACTTAGCAGATGAGAAAGTTGAGGCCTTGAGTTGACGTGAGCTCTATCGATCGCAGTGGGTCTGCTTGTCCGTTTGTCTTGGCTTTGGTTTTGCGTCTGTAATGGACTCAGAGGGAACCGGGGCTGTATGGGACACCCCTATTCTAAAGAGACGCCGGTAAGGGCCCAGGAGGCAAGCATTGCATGCTGCTCGGTGATTCTTTTTCTTTGTTCAGTCTCCCACACAGAAGCGCGGCCAGCCCTCCTTCATGCTCTCCTGCTTCCCTTGAAGAGATCCGCCTGTGTTTCTCATTCTTCACTCCGGGTCTTTCTGACCGAGCCGTGACTCACTAGGGCACCGATTTAATGAAATGAAATTCTCAACCATGTTTGGTTTGATTCTGGGTGATAGAAAGAAAGCATTGTAAATGCTTTGTAGCCAGGTTTCCAGGGACGGGAAGGGTGGAAAGAAGAAAGTGGGTCACGTGTAGATCTGGGCCATGTCTGCTCATGGACTGCCAGTGGGGGGGATCATAGGGCAATGGATTTTACCTTAAGGGGAACAGAGGTTTGGCAGCACTGGGTCCTGAAATTCTGAGGTTGGTAGGTGGTAGAAACTGACAACGCTGCTATTGTTGTTGAGTACTGCCCAGTCAGTTCTGATTTACCAGGACCCTAGAGTCCGACTGCCCTGCAAAGTTTTTCCTGGGCTGTAATATTTACAGAAGGTTGCCATGCCTTCCTCTGGTGGAGCCACTGATGGGCTCGAACCACCGACCTTTCCGTTTGCCTTGGAGTCTGTGCTTAATGGTTCTGCCATCAGGGCACCATCAATACGTATTGCATGTGCATGGGAATGCGCCCTCTCTAAACCATTGCGGTTTATACTATTATCATCTCCACCTTACAGAGAAGGAAATAGAGGCCCAGCAAGCTCGATTAGCTTGTCTGAGGCTAGACCAATCAGGGAAGAAATGGAAGGTATGGCGCCTAGAAAAGTGTCCTCAGAGCTTTGAGCTAGTCGGCCAACCTGCCTCAGGTATAGGGGCTCAGGAATTCTCAGACCTCCCAGGCTACCAAAGACTACAGGATACATGATTGTGGTGTTTGGTGACAGGCTCATGGGTTGGTTAGAAAAAGGTCTAAAAGAAAACTCATGTACCTTCTTTGACATATTCCCCCATCTGTATTTACTGCCTGGAAAGCTCACTTTAGTACAAGTGCTTGCCTTTCCTGCTTGTAATCAGCTTCATTGTGGCTACAGCCTTGCTCCACAAATGGATTTTTAAAATATTTCATAATAACGAATCCCTCTCTTTTATGAACACTCTCCAGTCATTATGCAATGGCTTCCTAAGTAGGATTGTTTAGGGGGACGCGTTACAGAAATGCCAGGAACCCTCAAATGATTTTTGTTTTTCTCTGCCTCCAACTGCAGTCGCTTCTCATCCCTCACATTTACTGGGAGGCACGTGTCTTGTCAGCCACCTGGCTACAAGCGTGTGGTAGGAGGCAAGGGGAGAGAGGAGGTTAAAATGCCCAAAATGGTAAATTACTGTAGGTTCTGGAGAAAAATAGAATTAAAAGCATTTGTGGTTCCAGTGAAAATAGCACATTTCCTTTCTGCTTGGACAGTAGGGGGGGAGGGGGTCAAAGTCCTCCAGGGATTAGAAAAATAAATAAAAATTGGTCCCTCACTAATAGAAGGAGTTTCCTGAACCCTGGGCCCTGAAATGATTAGCTCCAGGTTTAAAGGCCTGACAAAATCAGTTTCAAGGGGGCTGAGGAGAAGACCAGGAGACTGAAGTGTTTCTGCCAGGAAATTTCATCTTTCAGGAATGGTTTTCCACCACCAGCCCCCACCCCCTTGCAAGACCAGCCACCAGCCAGCAGAAACTGAGCAGGTGTGTACCCACTTGGTTCCCATTGCTGACCACGGTCCTTGCATCTCTTTCTGCAGGTGAGAAGCCTTATAAGTGCTCATGGGAAGGGTGTGAGTGGCGTTTTGCACGAAGCGATGAACTCACGAGGCACTACAGGAAACACACAGGTGCAAAGCCCTTTAAATGCAACCACTGCGACAGGTAAGGAGGCTCGGTTGCTGCCGGGCCTGGGCGAGGCGACGTGGAAATGGGTTGGTGGTTAGGGTGGCTTGTATCTTGGTGGTGATCACCCACAGGTTCACTGTCCTGGGGATGCCTTCTCCTTCTCCACTGAGACAGCTAATGAGATGAGGGTGCCTCCTTGCCCAGCATCCAGAAGGACTATGAACAGTGGATGAATTCCTTGGTTGAGTTCCACAGTGTGTACAGAGCAGCGGCATTGGGCGAGGCTGCTCTGCCTTCATTGAGCAGTCCCCGGGATACAAGAATCCCAAAGACACTTTCCATCAGGAGATCGCAACAGATTTGGGGAAAAAGGAGTAAAAATAATTATAAACCGACTCAGTTGCCACATCGTGGATTCCAGCGCCTAAGGTCGCCGGGTATGTCCATTGGACTGTGCTCCCTAGCATTTTCCCGGCCTGCTTTTCTGGAAGCAGGTTGCCAGGCCTTGCTTCTGAGGTGGCTTAGAGCCGAGTGGAGCCTCCAGTCTTTTCCAGTCTTTTCCGTTAGCAGCCAGGGCAGCCAAGTTGACCATTTGCAGCGCCCAGAGGCTCCCAGTTAGTACAGTGTGGAAACCAAAGGGGATAGAAAGGGGTCGCCTGCAGCTGATTTGCTAGATCTCTTGATGAACATCAGTGCTCTGTCCCCTCACCCTTAGTAAGAGAAGAGAGGAGAAAGTCTGCTTAACAGCCCAAAGGGTGAGTTGCACACCCTCTCTCCTAATGGGATTCGAGGAAAAGAGTTCCCCTTCTTTGTTGTTCTGAGCCATTCTTCCCCCCTTAAGAACCAGGTACAAAGGTCCCCCAAATGGCAAGGCTTGGGGAACGTATCCTATAATTCAATTTCAAACCTTCAGCATTCGAGATGGGCAGAAAGAGCGTGTAGCAACAGAAACTACCCAAGTAATAGTATCTGACAGCCCTGGCATTATCAACCAATGAACCCCAAATGGAGATTGTGCAGGCCAAGGTGAAGGCAGGATCCGGGTTAGACATAATCAAATAATGGGCTTGCATCTGAGCGTGTTATCCTTCTAATCCTATTTCTGTGTTTAAAAGGAAGCTTAAGAAAATTAACCATCTTTTTAATGCAATACTAAAGGTCTCGGTTATGATGAGAAAAATGCTTCTAATACGATAAAAGCCCCTGAAAGCCTCAGGGTTCCCCGGCTTGGTCAGCAGCTCACGGGGCAGCGGAGGGGGTGTGCAGAAGGTCAGCGGAGGCCTGGCGGCATCCAGCCACCCCTGCGGGTGGGTCGCGGTGTGGTGTTTCCGACTCCCAGGCCCTCCTTTCCTGCCATCCGCCTGGCAGGAGTGAGTTTGCATGGACAGGGCCGCTTGAGAAGCTGAGCACTGTGGGCCTGGACATCACGGAGATGCTTCCACAGGAGCACGGCTGGTTTTCCTCTCTTTTTTTCTTCTTCCTGAAGAGGCTATTTTCCTCTTATCTTCATTCTAAAGAGCTAAATAAAGACCCAGGCCTCCTGGACCGCAGAGATAACCTCCCACCCTGGGGCTGAGGAAGTGGACATCAAAAAGCTATTGTCTCTCTTTCCATTGGGACTCAGCTATCCCGGGACCACAGCTCCAGCCCCGCTACCAGGAAGTCTCTGAATCCCACCTGATGCTGCGCATACCAGCAGCTAGTCTCCCGCATATTGTGCTTCAGGAAAAATCCCTATGGCCATGGAGTTGACTACAACTCTTGGCGCCCCACTGCGCCCCAGAGTAGGACCAGCAGGACTCCAGAGTGTTTTCAAGGACTGATTTTTTACGGTAGACTGCCAGCCCTTTCTTCTGAGCTGGTGGCCTGGGTCTCCAGCGTTTTGATTCGCCAGTGGAGAGCACATGACTTGTTTGCACCACCCCAAGTCCAAACTCAACTCACTGTCACTGAGTCAAAGCTGACAGTAGAACAGCCCTGTGGCTTTCCCAGACTGTTAACTCTTCCCGGGAGGAGACAGCCTCCTCTTCCTCCCTCCGAGCAGCTGGTGTTTTCAAACTGCACCCCTTGCGGTAACTCACTCCATTGCCAGGGTTCCTTTTGCACAACCCAGAGCCCAAGTCTTCTCTTGATTCTCCGGTTGAGTGCTGGGTCTAGTCTCTATAGCCCCGGCTGCTCATAAAGAAGCAACACAGAAGGTATCTCTCCCCACAAAGCCCCAGGAGGCTTTCCTAAGCTCACGAAGCCCGAGCATTTGTGAGGTATAAAAGTACGCTGGTGTGCACAGCTATACATGGTAGCAATGGGAAATGTGGGGCATGTGGAGAGGGAGGAAGGCCATGGGAACGCTGTCCAAGCTGCTTAAGGAATGCTGATGGTGTAGTGGGTTTCGTGTTAGGCTGCATGATTTATATGGATAAATATTTCAAACTTCCTGGAACTTTTCCATGAAAAGCCTGGCAGAGACAGATAATTTGATAGTCTCTTGCCTTGCTTTCTTCCATAAAATACACTTTGGTGTGTGGAGTGAGAGATTGGCAGAGCAAATGGTACCAATGGGGTGATGTGGGACTGACTCTGAGTCAAGCAGCCTCCTGAGGCTGGGCCAGGAGTCCGTGCATTTCAGCAGTGTTGGAAACCCGGGGTAGCAGTCTCCTGGCATGCAGGCAGGCAGCCTGCACCTTGCACTTTTGTTGTGGTGATGGTGCTAAGAATAGAGCAGATCTGGGAGGTGGCATCAGGGAGTGGAGTGGCCTTCACACAGATGAAAGGAAAGCCTGGAATGGCCGGGGAGTTGGCACAGCTTAGAAGACTTTCACCTTCAGAAACAGAGGGCATCTGTAGTCCTTAGCAGGATGCCGTGACCTTTTGGTACCTGTGTGAATGAGCACAAGAAATCCTCCATGTTGTCTCTGTACACTTGAGCATTCAGGCTCATCTAGGTATTTTGCACATGACCCAAGTCTGTTATTTATTTATTTTTTTTGCTTATTAATGAGTAAAAAATTCATGTGCTTGGTTTTTTTTGAGAGGGGGGAGGCAAGTTTTCAATCTGTTAGATGTTACATGAAATTCTCTATTTCTCGATTTATCTGAAAAAACTAGATCTGACCACTGTGGGTTCACATTCCCATGTGGCCATCATTTATTGGAGCTCAATGACAATGATGACCCATTTCCAATGGCCCTGTGATCACTAATTTCCCCAGGTTTCCACCATTCCTTGCGTTTTCCCAACACAATGGCAGACCACCAGTTGCTGTGTCATCCTGCTTACTCTGTTATTTCTTCTTATAAGTCCAAAGTCAAACCCACTGCCACTGAGTCAATTGCAATTCATAGTAACCCTATAGGGCAGAATAGAACCACTCCACAGGGTTTCCAAGCCTGTGAACCTGTACTGCGAATCTCGATAGGAACAGGCAATTTCGTCTTTCTCTTGCTGATGGGTTTGATCTACCAACCACATGGTTCATGACCCAGATCTTAGCCCACTCTGCCACCAGGGCAACTTCCTCTTATAAAAGTCACTGCCCTCCAGTCAATTCTGGCTTATAACGACCCAATAGGGTAGAATACAGCTGCCCCTGTGGGTTTCCAAGACTGGGATTCTACTTGGGAGCAAAAAGCCTCATCTTTCTGCTGAGACATCCTCCTAGAGGAGCGC